ATTCCAGTGTCAAAAACTTGTGGTTTTGCAGAAAAGCATTCTAGGCCTGACCCTTCAGGTGTGGGTGGACCTTGTGCTACCATTCTTAATTCTCATTCTTAGCATCAGTTCAAAGTTCAGACAAGGCTCAAAGAAAAGATCGCCCATGCAATTACATCCCCATGGGTTCTTTTTCACATCTGTCCCACCTTGTGTGGTGTTACCATAGAACCCATACATCATCCTCAGCTGTCCCTTAACATTCACCAAATGGTTTCTGTCAACATTTCCAATATGGTAGTAATGTCATTTAAGCGGTTTCTTTTCAAGTTAGCATCAGGGAAGCAAGCCATGCTCAATATTTAACAATTCATTTCTACGTGTGTGGGTGTGCATGTGTGTAAGAGTGTGTTTTATTTGTCATTATTGGTACAAGCAGAGGCAGTACAAACTCACAAATGCAGATTTGAATCTAATGCACACGGTGTTCAAATTTGAACCTTCCTCATGGATTTTCGTGGTGTGGGCCAATATGGTGTTTACATTATAGAATTCCTGCTGTGCAAGAAAAGCACACTTTTTCCCTAAATTTTTTTTTCTCCATGTGTCCTATTATGGATACTGGTTTTGTTAATTATGTTTTTTTCCCCTCTTTTTAGAATGTAGCAGTAATGCCATTACTGAAATGAATGATTTCCTTTCTCTGAAATATAATCATTGATGCTTGAACGATAGAATTTTAGTACTGTAAACAGGCTTTAGTCATTAATGTGAGAGACTTAGAAAAAGAAATGCTTAGAGTGGACTATTAAATGTGCCTAAAGGAATTTTGTAGTAACTGGTAATTCAATTTTTGTCCTACTTAACTACACATTAATTCAGAACTTGTCTTCTGAGTTTAACAGCCTTCTAGAGTGACGAGCAACTTCGATGTTTGCACTAAGATTTTATTTGAAATACAAGAGGGGCTGAAGGAGGTTTCAGTAGTGCACATGTAACTAATTTATTTGAACTATATGCTAAAGACATCTACCAGTTTCTTCAAATGCCTTTTTTAAAAACTCGTTACATATGATTGGTGAAATGTTGAGTGTCATTTTTCTTATTGCACGTCGGCTACATAAATGGTTTTGTACAATGAAAAACTAATGTGTTTGACATTCCATGTTAAACTACTGTCGTGTTCAGCTTCATTGCATGTAATGTAGACCTAGTCCACCCAATCATGTGCTCGGGAGAGTGTTCTTTATTCAATAAAGTTTTAATTTAGTATAAAGATAGCCTGGATGTCTTGTATGATTTTAAAAAAATAAAATAAAACCTTACTGCATTGATTCAAGATTACCAAAAATAGGTCTAATGACTATCATGTACCTCATGTTTTTTTTTTAAGTGGATTTTGATATTTTGCTTGCCTGTTATTTCTGTGTTCCATATGTGTGCCTGGTTGCTTGCAGTGGACAGAAGGTGTCAGATCCTCTGGAACTTGAGCTCCAGATAGTTGTGAGTTGACATGTGACATGTGGGTGTTGGGAATCAAACCCAGCTCTGTGAAGAACAGCTAACCACTGAGCCATCCCTCCAGCCTTAAAGTCCATACTTTTAAGAATATTTAAGAACAATATTCAGAACTAGAGAGATGGCATTTTTTTAAAAAAAAAAATAGGACGATCATAAGCTATATTCTGTGCATCATCATTGACTTTGGAACTTTGGGGTGATATTTTACCTGAGAAGATAAAAAGTCTATAAATGGCGGGGCGGTGGTGGCGCACACCTTTAATCCCAGCACTTGGGAGGCAGAGGCAGGCGGATCTTTGTGAGTTCAAGGCCAGCCTGGTCTACAGAGCGAGATCCAGGAAAGGCACAAAGCTACACAGAGAAACCCTGTCTCGAAAAACCAAAAAAAAAAAAAAGTCTATAAATGTTCATTTTGGGATACAATTCCATTCCCCACTGGACCCCACACACTGCAAGCCTCTTCGGTCTCTCGCCACAGCTTCCTAGATGTGTGGGACTACAGGCCTAATCTAGTGATTACAGCTTTTGAGAGGACTATCTAGACCAAAACCCAGACCTAGAAATGGCAAGAATAAACCCTGCGAAGGGAAGGTGATTCTGGTTAGTTGATGTTTCAGCCATAAAATGCAATATAAAGACTGGTAGCTGACTGACTACAGTGATCTCAAATACATGGGAGTCTGAAGCAGGGGTATGGCCCCCAAATCAAGCCTCACTTGGGTGTAAAAAGTTAAGAGTATGTGTTTATGTGCTTAGCCACACTTTTGTAGTCTCCTCAGTCAGAAGGCTGAGGCAGGGCTGGCAAGATGGCTCACCCAGGTCAAGGTACTTGCTGAGTAAGCTTCACAGCCTCAGTTTGGTCCTAAGAGTCTGCAGTAAGGATGAGATTGACTTCTGTAGTTGTCATGTAAGGATGGAGATTTAACTGCAGAGCAGAGGCCCTCAACCTCTGGGTCACAACCATTGGGAAATAGATTTCCGATGGGCATAGGAACCGAGGCACCACTCAGTGGCAAAATTGCAGTTATGAAGCTAGCAGCAAAAATAATTTCATCAGGCAGCAGTGGCACACACCTTTGATCCCAGCACTTGGGAGGCAGAGGCAGGTGGATCTCTGTGAGTTCGAGGCCAGCCTGGGCTACAGAGTGAGTTCCAGGATAGACATCAAAACTACACGGAGAAACCCTGTCTCAGAAAAGTAAAAAAAAAAAATAATTTCATGGTTGAGGGTCACCACAGCATGAGGGAATTCATTAAAGGGTCACAACATCAGGAAAGTTGAGAAGCTCTGTTGTGGAGTGTTTGCCTAGGTTTCAGGGGCTTGGGAAGAGGGGTCATAAAAACACTTTAAAAACACTTTAAAATGTCATAAAGGGCCAGGCAGTGGTGGTGCACGCCTTTAATCCCAGCACTCGGGAGGCAGAGCCAGACGGATATCTGTGAGTTCTAGGCCAGCCTGGGCTACAGAGTGAGTTCCAGGAAAGACTCCAAAGCTACACAGAGAAACCCTGTCTCGAAAACCCCCCCCCCCAAAAAAAAAAAATCATAATGGTACCCAATGTGCTACATACTAGTTTTAAAAATATAATAGTTTAAAGGCATTCCCAGCCACATAAGATTGAAAGTAGCTTGAGGTATACTAATATGAGACCCTATTTTCAGAAGAAAACCTAAAATGGAAAAAAAAAAAAGTCAGGTGATCCAATGTAAACATTTCACTCATTGCTTCGAGGCTTTAGCTGCAGACTGAGCCCCAGTTCATCCTGACTGCAGACTGAGTCCCCTCAAAATAAAAACCCTCAGTTGCATTTCCAGCCCAAGAAAACAACCCTTACACTATGTGTGCAGAATTTGAACATGCAGAAGTACACGAAACAGGGTCAAACTTACTGTCATCTCTTCACGCTCCTCGGTGGACATCAGAGAAACCCTGATTTGCAGAAGAAACTTCTACACACATACCAACCACCTCTCAGGTGTTTAGTTAAGTAGCAGTGAATGGTTGAGTGATTTAGTTCCTGTCCCCAGAAGCATACAAAATGAATCCCTCCAGAAACTGGGAACATTTATCTTCTGTTCATTTTTCTAATATAAATAAATATGGAGATGATAGCAATGAATTTTTGGTTGAATTCCTAGTCCTGCCTTAAAGGCTTGTGCCACCACATCCAGAAAAATTCTCCAAGTTTTTTTAAAATACATTTTTAATGATTTATTTATTCTTATTTTATATGCTTTGATGTTTTGCTTGCATGTATATCTGTATGAAGGTGTCAGATTCCCTGGAACTGTAGTTATAGACAGTTGTGAGCTGCCGTGTGGGTGCTGGGAACTGAACCTAGGTCTTCTGGAAGAGCAGTCAGTGTTCTTAACAGCTGAGCCATCTCACCAGGCCCTCCCTAAGGTTTTTGTTTCGTTTTGTTTTTTAGACAATTGACAATCTATTGCTATCATTTAAATTCAGGATTCAAAAATATAACTAGGCTAGTGCTATAGGCCTGTAACCCTAACTACTCAGGAGGTAGAGGCAGGGAGATGCCATCAGAAGCTGACTGGGATAATTTAGCTAAGATGTAACTCTATGGTAGAGTGACGTAACACAATGGACAAGCCCCTGCCTATATTCACAAGGCTACGGGGTTCAATCTCCATCACCACACACACAAATTTTATTTTGTATTTAAAGATTTATTAGTTTTATTTATGTGCATGTGTATGAGGCTGTGTGAGTTTATGGGTACCACATGTATATACAAGTGCCCACGGAGACTAGAGGGCATCAGAACAGGCAGTGAGTCCACGGATGGTGGGTGCTGGGAACAGAACCCAGGTTCTCTGCCAGAGTCATAAGAGCTGTTAAATGCAAACAAGCCGGGCGGTGGTGGTAGCGGCGGCGGCGGCCTACGCCTTAGGCAAGCAGATCTCTGAGTATGAGGCCAATCTGGTCTACAGAGCTAGTTCCAGGACAGCCAGGACTGCACAGAGCAACCTTATCATAAAAATAAAATAAAATTTAAACAAACAAACAAAACACCACAACTGCTAAATGCTGAGCAATCTCCCCACCCCCCTTTACACCATTTTTAAAAGGCCATGGAAATGTCTCCTATCTTTAGACAATAGGAAAGTCCTGTCCAGCCTCTTTGTTTTGTTCAGTGAATTTTTACCTTAGTCTCTAGAGGTTTGGGCTAAGTTTCCAGGCCAAAGGCTGTCCCTTTATCGTATTCTAGGAAAATTGCTCAACTTCTTCACCTGCCCAGGGTACTAGGTCCTTACCCACACATTACCTCTTCTAAAAATTCCAGACTTCAGTTTCCAACGTGCCAAAACAGCTGAGCTTTGTGCTTGGAGGGAGAAAAAAATAATAATAATGAAGTTGGAGAGCTTATTAAAATCTTAAAAGTGAGTTTTCTCCATAAACGGCAGTGCACCAACGGTAGGAACATGTTTATAGGCTTTATTGGCTCCTCACTTCTGTTTTTCCCTTTTCTTAGTTGAAGCAAATATAACTGAGGCCCTGATGTGTAAAGTTGGCGGCTGGCAACCTCCAGAACTCAAGGGGAGACCCGGAACGAACAGCACCAAACACGGCAGAGAAGGCAAGAAAAACCGGGTAGCCTGTGGAAAAGATCGTTCATTCGGAAGTCTTCAAAAACGGTGAATTTTAACGTTTTTTTTGTTTTGTTTTTTTCGTTGTTTGGTTTTTGTTTTCTTTTCGCGATCTCCAGATGTTTCTGGGAAATGACCAAATGCTTACTTGAGTTCCGATGTGTAGAGAAATGTCAGTGCCCACACACTTTCTTGTTGAATATAAACAGTCCTGGGAGACACCCCCATTCCCCTGCCCCACACCCAACACACACACACACACACACACACACACACACACACACACACACACACACACCCCTAACAAGGCAAACCCTCTGCCTCAGACATTTAGTGCACCAAGCCACCTGCTCCCATGCAGTGGGGTGCACAATGAAACCTTTTGGGGAGTTTCTGCTACACCCTTGTCTGGCAGTTACTTTTTAACCATGCTGATCACCAGACTTAGTAAAGACAGTATAAGAGAAGTTTTCATTGCTATGGTAGCAGAGGCCAATACCATTATTTTGTTTTATTAGTAAATAAAGCCACGAATGCATGTCTCTAATCCCAGCATCAGGGAGACAGAAGCATATGGATCTTAGTGAATTCAAGGATAGCCTGGTTTATATAGTGAAACCCTATCTCAAGAAGAAGAAGAGAAGACTAAACATTGAAGCCAGACTATGAGGACACACGCATAATCTCAGATGGGAAATGTGGGCCTAGGTTGGGCTACATGGAGAATTCTAGACGAGTATGATGGTGTGTGCCTTTAATTCCAGCACTCAGTGGACAAAGGCAGAGGGAGGTAAAGGCAGATTTCTGTGAGTTCCAGGCCAGCCATGGATACAGGGAGACCCCCATCTTAAAAAAAACAAAACAAAACAAAGAACTACTGAAGATCGCAAACATCAACCTTGAGTGTATGCATGCATGTGTGTGCATTCACACACTCATGCACACAAGGGCATACATACACTCACATGCTGCATATTTGTACACATGTGGTCCCATACACATTCACACATGCATGTATACCATAAATATAAATACACACACACACACACATAAATTTATCCTAGCTTGATGAGATGGTTTGGCAGGTAAAGGTGCCAGTTGCCAAGCCTACCAACCTATCAGTCATTCCCCAGGACTCACCTGGTAGAAGGAGGGTACTAACTCCCCCAAGTTATTTTTTGCCCTCTATAAAAGTGCAGTGGCACTGCCGGGCGGTGGTGGCGCACGCCTTTAATCCCAGCACTTGGGAGGCAGAGGCAGGCGGATCTTTTTGAGTTCGAGGCCAGCCTGGTCTACAGAGCGAGATCCAGGAAAGGCGCAAAGCTACACAGAGAGACCCTGTCTCGGAAAAACCAAAAAAAAAAAAAAAAAAAAGTGCGGTGGCAGGAATTCTCACACACATACACACAAATACATAAATAAATATAAACAAGTAAATTTATACCGTCTTTAGGCACAAACTAAGAAAACGACTCTGGGTTTAACTTGCAACCCTTTAGAAGGCAGGAGTAAACTATCAAGATTCGTTAGACAGAACTGGGACCCTCACCTCTAGCCAGAATGCCAGAGTTTGAATGGCCAGGGCTTTGGAAGACAGATGTTTCCAACACAGCTGTGGCTCAAGTTGAAGTTTTTCCCAACTCAGAGCAAGTAGCGTGCGGCTGACTGGAGTAGTTCTCCAGCATACGGACCACTGGAGTAGTTCTCCAGCATACCGACCTCAACTCAGCCGAGCTACTCACCGTGTGTCAGTAAGAACGTGAGAGACACTGTCACTCCTGACTGTGGCCACAGCACTTGGGAGGCAGAGACAGATGACACCGGCGAACTCCAAGGCCAGCCTGGGTCACACGTAGTGAGTTCCAACCCAGCTGGGGCTACGGAACAGGACCCTATCTCAAAAACCAAACAAAGAAGGAAACATGGTGGAATATGCTTGTGATCCCAGGATGAGCTGGAGGCAGGAGAATCAGGAGTTCAAGACCATCCTCGTCTGTACATTGATTTCAAGAACAGCTCCGGCTATATGAAGGCCTCTCTCCAAAAACAAAGTAAATAAATAGAATAAATATATCTTGGAGAACCACCCTACATCCATGAGTTTTATATTTTAGTGAGGCCAGGAATGGTAGCACACATCTTTAATTCCAGAACCTGGAAGGCAAAGGCAAATGGGATAGCTGTGAGTTCAAGGCCAGCCTGGTCCAGAAATACATTTAAAAAAAAAAAAACTTATCTTAAAAAAATAACTTATTTTTAATTTAAGTGTAACTACACCCAGCACCCTAACATATATAATGCAGTATGTTAACACTGTAACAGAAGCCATGCATGCATGGCTGTAATTTCAGGATTCAGAAGGATGCATGCATGCCTGTAATTTCAGGATTCTGTAGGTAGAGGCTGGAGGACCAGAAGGCCTAGGCCAACCAAACCAAAACAACAACAACAACCAAAACCAAAACCTGATAATCAAGATGCACCTGATATAGTCTGTAGAACTCATAATTTATAATGTTTGCTTCACAATTTAAAATAAAAGCAGCAGATATGGTAAGGGGTAGCACGTCTGCGGTTCTCATCTCTTTGAATTAAAAGCTCTCCATCTTCTGTTATTTACTGTTCTACTTTCATCTAACTACTTGAAGCTTTACTAGCTCCTGACAGTGTAAAAATACATATGTAATTTCAGCACAGATTTTGTTGTTGAAGATTCTGTGTGTGTGTGTGTGTGTGTGTGTGTGTGTGTGTGTGTGTGTGTGTGTGTGTGTGTTGTTCTGAGACAGACTTTGACCATGTAGCTCAGGCTGGCCTTCAGCTCCCTGTCTTCCCGTCTCAGGCCTTTCCTTTAGGAATTACAGACACAGATGTGCACCTCCATGCCTGACATCCTGGAGTTAGAGCTCTATAACTGGTTTCTGACCTTGAATCTACAACTGAAGTTAAAATAGGTTAAATAGAAAGATTAGTTTTTATCAAATTCCTTCCTTTCTTTTTCTTGATCATAATTTAGATCCATTTTTGATTAGATTCTTCTGGTTCATCTGTGGAGTCAAACACCCTTCAAATACCTTGACACCCCACTTCCCACCCCCACACATATTTACCTTAGAAAAACAAGTACCAAGTGATATATCTCCAAGGTAGCCCTGGGGAAGCTGCAGATGTTTAACCTTTGTAATTAAAGCATGCCGTGGGGATCCATCAGAAGCACGCTGAATTTTTATCTTTGCTCGGGTTCTCACTTGTCTGGAAGACCTGAAGTATTTCATAATTAAAGAGGATGAGGAATGCAGGTGATCATTATCTAAAACTCCAAACATAGCAAATGTGGGAACGAGGGTACTGACTGGCAGGAGACCAGTGATTTCAGTCAGCGTTAGCGCAAGCTCCAACTCTAAACTGATGATTCTCTCTGATAATAAGCTGTTATGGGTGAGAAGAGCTAAGGAAGCTGTAATATAAACTGGATTTGGTGGCATACACTTAACTCCCAACTTGGGAGCTGTAGGCAAGAGGATCAGGAGTTCAAGATCAGCCTGGGCTATGTGGAACACTCTGTTTTGTTTTTTCGTTTTTTCAAGACAGGGCTTCTCTGTGTAGCTTTGGAGCCTGTCCTGGAACTCACTATGTAGACCAGGCTGACCTCGAACTCATAGAGATCCACCTGCCTCTGCCTCCCAAGTGCTGGCATTAAAGGCATGCGCCACCACCACCCGGCATATGGAACACTCTTAAAGGTGTGATAAACAAAATAAAATACAAGTAACTGCATTAGAGGAGATTTTCAGAGTAGGAATCTGTTCACATGAAAGCACATTAAAGTTGAAAGAATTAGCTGCCGGATGTAGTGGAAAGTGCCTTTAATCCCAGCACTCAGGAGACAGAGGCATGTGGATCTCTGTGAATTTGAGCCTAGCCTGCCCTACAAAGCATATACAAAGTTCCAGGACAGCCAGAGCTACATAGAGAGACTCTATCTCAAAAACCAAAACAAAATAAAACCCCTTTAGAAAAGAAAGAAAGAGAGAGAGGGGGAGAGAGAGAGAGAGAAAGAAAAGAGAGAGAGAGAGAGAGAGAGAGAGAGAGAGAGAGAGAGAGAGAGAAGAGAGAAGAGAAGAGAAGAGAAGAGAAGAGAAGGAAGGAAGGAAGGAAGGAAGGAAGGAAGGAAGGAAGGAAGGAAGGAAGGAAGGAAGGAAGAAACGTAAAATTGACATTCTGATAGAAAGGGAGAAAGGATAGTTGAGCAGCTGTGGAATCAGCGGCATCTGTAGACTTTTTGGTCATTTGCCAGCAGTATGTCTGTTTGGGAAGTAAAGCCATAAAGGGCAAAGTGCTGGGCCGGGTTGGCTCAGTGGCAAAGTAGCTGCCTTGTAGGATGCTCCAGTCCTGACTCTAACACTGGGGGGAAATCAACTTTCCGTCATTTTCTTTTTTCTTTTTTTTTCCGAGACAGGGTTTCTCTGTGTAGCTTTGCGCCTTTCCTGGAACTTGCTTTGTAGACCAGGCTAGCCTCGAACTCACAGAGATCCACCTGTCTCTGCCTCCCGAGTGCTGGGATTAAAGGTGTTCGCCACCACCGCCCGGCTTCTTCTGTCATTTTCAATCAGTCTGATCCCAGTACCAAACTTACAGTTAGTGGCGGCAAAGGTAACCTAGTGATCAGTCCCAGCATGCCATGGGCATCTCATTTTTCGTTTAAATATTTTTGAACAACTATGTGACTTGATGCCCCGTGACCTTTATGAGGCAGCTGTGTTAAAGGCAGCATTACCATAAGGCTGGGTGTGTTAGCAAGAGTTAGAAGCATGCACAGCTTCAGAGTTTCCAAAAATCCCAGGGCTTCTGGGGGATTTCCAACATGTGCATGCCATAAAGTCGCCGCTTCTTGAGAAGTGTTCGTAAGAGCCAGGCACTCAATGCTATGGTGAAGTGGTATTCCAAGAAAAAATGAAGTAAGTGGACTCAAGGGGCCTGTGCATGGAAAGGATGTCTGAAGAAATTGTCGCCTCCTTCAGGAAGACTTAGTCATGCGTTCGTCTAAAAGGTAGGCTTTAAACAAGACTTGTCCACTCTTGTTATTTTTAGCATGTCCTTCCTAACCCCGAAAACACCGTAAGCATAGGCAGATGTCAGGGGAAAGCTGTCTGGATCATTTAGATGTTATTTTCCACGTTTGCTCTTATGGATAGCTCAGAACATGTATTTTTCATCACTGACCAGGGTTTACGTTGTTTTGGAACCAGACAGAACACCTTTCCCGCTCACGATTTTCAGTGCCCATAATGTCAAACACAAATTGGTTCAAAGTCTCTCTAGGAATCTTTCTCTTTAATGTCTGGACCTAGGCATCTTTGAAACTGGGAGATGTGGGATCCCCTCAAACTGACAATCTAGTAAGTGTTTGCTGTTGAATCACCCTGTGAGCTTGAGTCTCAATCCTGACCTATAAACAAAACATAAGCTTTGTCTCAAAAAAAAGTCAGGTAAAGTGAGGAAAGGTAGAGAGATGACTCACGGGTAAAAGCACTTGTCTGGCCAGGTTGATGACCTTAGTTGACCTCTGGATCAAATGGTGGAAGAAGAAAAGTGACTCCACAAAGTTATCCTCTGATCTATACACACACACACACACACACACACACACACACACACACACACACCAATAAAAGAGCATTTTTCTAGTAAGTCCTTGATAAATGGGAGGCCTTAAGTAATGCTTACAGTTTCTTCTAAAGGAAAAGAACAAAGAGACCATCCACTTCCAGGAGAAAAATCCAGGAAACAGTCGGTTCTGAATGTCAACACATCACCTCTGTGTTGTCTACTTTCATGAAAGTTTTGGCAAGGAGAACATAGATATGTTTCTTCTTTTTTTTAATCACAAGGCCATGGGAAACAAATCCCTATGTCTTACTCTCCACCAGGTAAGGAATATTGTAAATGCATTCAGCTCCTCTAGTGAAGAAGCATATACAGTGTTACTCTCAGAACTCTGAGAATTAAGTGAAAAAAAAAAAGATACCGTATAAGAAGAAGGGTCCACCCAGGGATGGGGAAGTACCTGATATCCCAAACATTCCAACCATTAGACAAGATGGCCAGATGCCCTGGAGTCTAGCACACACCTATTTTTGTTTTACAGATACCCCTAGACAATTGTCAGTCAGTCAATCAGGGTCCTGGACCCTGGAAATCCCTTCACCCCAACCTCTGCTATGATAAAAACTCTGCCCCACCTGAGCTCAGGGCTCTCTGCTCTCACTGCTGTGTTGGACAGAGGGACCAAGCTCCTGAGCTTGAAATAAAGGCTCTTTGCTTTTACATGGTGGGGGGGGTGGAAGGCGGGGGGTGGGGGGGTGGGGGGGGAGAAAGGTCAAAATGGGTGGTGGTGGTCCACACCTGTAATCCCAGCCCTCAGGAGGCAGAGGCAGGTGGCTCTCTGTGAGTATAAGCCTAGTCTACAGAGTGAGTTCCAGGACAGCCAGGATTATACAGAGAAACCCTGTCTCGAAACAAACAAACAATTGACAAAACAATGAAGAAGAAGCATCAGGTTGAGCATGGTAGCATGGGAGACGGAGATGTCTATGACCAGGGAATCAATTGAACCCAGGAGTTCAAGGCCAACCTGGTCAACATCGTGAGACCCTAAAATAAACAAGCCAGCAAAACAGACAGACAAAGCAGTTTGGATCAAAGCTGTAGTTATGAAGCCCTCCACTGTCAGAAAAGCAAAATTTATGCGGGATGAGATGGCTCATGCCTGTGATCACAGAACTTGGGGAGCAGGGACAGAAGGGTCATGAGTTCAAGGCTAGCTTAGACTATACAGCACGTTCCAGGCCACCCTGTGCTTCACATGCAAGCCTATTTCAAAAGGGCAAAAAGTCAATAATAATAATTAATAATAATAATTCACTAACAAGCAACTGACTGTCCATTAAGCAGGTCACTAACAAGCGACTCTCCATTCAGGAGTGTTCGGTCTTGAAGCAGAGCCATGGGGAAGACAAAAGATGAGGCTCTTCTCTGGCTACTTCAAAGTATAGATGGTGGCTTCTTTTCTCTTCCTCTCCTACCTCCACTGTGTAGCCAAAAGTGGCTTGAGCTTACCATCCTCCTTCCTTAGCCATTCCCGTGTGCTGAGATCATGGATGTACAGTGGTTTTCTTAATTTCTATATATCTGTCTTATACTTGGAGATAAGAGTCTGCTTTCCAGAAAGGGGTCTTTCTTAGTAAATTGGCATTTGACCTGTAAATATTTAGCATATGTAATTTTATTCCAAATTAAAACAAAACCCCTGCAGCCTTGTGTGTGTGGACAGAATTTGTGGAGGCGAGAGGACAACATACGGCGTTGGTTCTTTCCTTCTACCCTGTAGGTTCCAATTCAGGGTGCAGAGGTTTTGAGAGGCAAGTGCCTTTACTCGCTGAACTGTCTCAAGTGTTAGAGGACACCGTGGACTGCAGCCATTAACAAAGTAGTCCAGTGCGGTGACACCCTCTCTGGACAGCCTGGGCAGCTCTGGGGAACAGCCCCGAAATACGTATGTGGTGGCAGCTGCTGCAAAGTCTTTCTTTTTTTTTTTTAATTTATTTTTATTTTATTTGCATTGGTGCTTTTGCCTGCATGTATGTCTATGTGAAGGTGTCAGATCTTGGAGTTACAGACAGTTGTCAGCTGCCATGTGGGTGCTGGGAATTGAACCCGTGTCCTCTGGAAGAGCAGTCAGTGCTCTTAACCGCTGAGCCATCTCTCCAGCCCCCGAGTCTACTTTCTTTCCACCCCTTTTCTCCCTCCTTCACCCTCCACCTTCCTTTCCCCCTCCTCCGTTCCTCTTTCTCCACTCCTCCCCGCCCTCCTGGCTTTTCATTCTTTCCTCCTTCCTTTCTTCTTTCTCGTTGTCCTTTTTGTACGCTCCTTTGTGAGCTCAGTGGCTTGAGGAAGATGTGGATGTCCTGCTCCGTAACTCTTTACCTTATCCCTTCGAGGCAGGGTCTAGCTGAACCTCGTCTGTCCCCAGCCCAGCCCTGGTGAGCCTTTGGTTTTCACCCCCTTATAGAGCTGGGGTTACAGGAAGGCACAATCCTGCATGCTAGGCAAGCATTGTATTCACCAAGCTCCATTCCCAGCTACTTTTGCTTTCTTTTGGAGACAAAGTCTCATTATGCAACCCAGGCTGGACCAGGACCAGAACCCACAGTCCTTCTGCCTCTACTTCCCAAGTGCGGGAATTGCAGGAATGAGCCATCATGCCTGGCAAATTGACCTCATAACATTTCATCATTTCATACAGTGACTATTTTATACTGAGAAAAATTATTCTTTCATTGTGTGACACTGTCTTTCCCAAACTTGCCTTTATTATAAATAATAGTGCAGTGTCTGTGCATTATCCTGGCAATGTGTGTAAAATTAAAGGAAGGAACTGTAGCTAGTCGAATGTCCTAGGACCTAGGTCAAATGGGCCACATACAGGCTTCGCAGTCATCACGAGGGCATGTCTGTGACTGGCCTTCACTTTGCCTCAAGATAGGAAGAAGCCTCCATCATAACGGCAGTGATAGATTCAAAAGGCTATGATGTCTTATCTTTCATAGTCTCCCCAGATTTTTCTGTGGGAAGACTGAGAATGTTTCAGAGCTCTCTAATTTATCTTCACTCAGCAGTTCCTTTTCACTTTCTGCCTAGCTAGCTGCTTCACACAGAGAGCTGTAATTAAAGGACAAGACAGATTTCAACAGGACAAACTATCAGGACGAAGATCAAGACGCGGTCCAAATTTCCCAGCGCCTGAGTTACTTCTTCTGACGAGCACAAAGAGTCCTCATAATGGAGCCTGTGCCCCTGTTGAAGGTCTGCCTATTTATTTATTTATTTATTTATTTATTTATTTATTTATTTATTTATTTATATTTTTGTCCTTCTGGGGATTGAATCTCGGCATGCTAGGCATGGGCTCTACCAGTAAGCTACACCTCTTGGCCTAAGTAATAGTTTCCAAAACTATAAGAAAAATGAAAACTTATCGCAGAAAATTTTAAAGAATCCTAAAAATGGAACAAAAAGAAAAACCCTTAATCCAACATCAAAACCAAAAACCAAACCAACCAACTAAACAAAGAGAAATTACAGTGGAAGGTGGTCATGGTGGCACATGCCTATAATTCTACCATCCCCTGGCTGAGACATCGTTGCCAAGAGCATAAGGAAAGCTTGGGATATGTATTAAGACCCCGTCTCAAAAAAAAAAAAAAAAAAAAAAAAAAAAAAAAAAAAAAAAGGTGGGTGAGAGTGGGGAGATACAGAGTTTTCTCCCCTCTGTCCCCTCCAGTTTTTTGGGACAGGGCTACACTGTGTATCCTTAACTGGCCAAGAACTGGCTATGTAGATCAAGCTGGCCTCAAATTTGTAACCATCCCGTCTTTACTTCCCAAGTGCTGGGATTCCAGACTTGTACCACCATGACCAGTTTGTGCACTGCTGGGAATTAGGCTCAGGATTTTTCACATGCTAAACAAGCGCTCTACCTACTGGGCTACCTCCTAGCCTCTTCAGCTTTTAGTTATAGTCGATCTTGGAGTTTTTCTTGGTTAGATTTGTAGGGTGGCGCTGGCTATTGAGCCTACGGCTGAAGACACGCTATGCACACTCTCCCCCTGTGTGGACATAACCATGTTCGCCACGACAGAACTCCTCAAGCACTGCTGCCGTTATTTATGCGAGGACTCCTTCACAGGGGGCACATTCAATACTCCACAATTTATGTATGTAACATAAAGTAATGTTGCTCTATTTCTGAAAAACTAAGAAATTTTAAGGATACATTAAGAATTAGTGTCAGAGTTTTGAACATGGATTTCATACTATAGCCTAGACTAGCCTGGGATGTACTAATGATCCAAAGCTGGCCTCAACCTCATGTCAATCATCCTACCTCGGCTTCTTGAGTGCTAGAATTTACAGGTGTGAGCCACGATGCCCAGCTTTGAACATTTTAAAGACTGAGTTTAGCAAGAACTAAATTTGATCTATTTTTAGTTGATATTTTGACATGTAAAATTCTAATTTGTTGTAATTTATGCTGCTTTTATTAATAGCGATACTGGTTAGAAATAAATTTGTATGTGATGGTTCCCTCGTTTAAAATGACTGTACCCCTACTTTTTCTGTTTTGTGATCTCAGTGGTTTTTTTTTTTTCAGATTTATTTATTTTTATTTCATGTGCATTGCTGTTTCACCTGTGTGTGTATCTGTGTGAGGGGATCAGACCCCCTGGAACTAGAGTTCCAGATAATTGTGAGCTGCCATGTGGGTACTTGGAATTGAACCTAGGTTCTCTGGAAGAAAAGCCAGTGCTCTTCTCCACTGGGCCATCACTCCAGCTCCATTTATTTTAATTAATTTTTTTTTTATATTTTGTTTTTTTGAGGCAGTATCTCCCTACATACCCCTGGCTGTCCTGCAACTCACTTTGTAGACCAGGCTGCCCTTGAACTCCCAGAGATCCTCCTCCTTCTGCCTCTGAGTGCTGAGATTAAAGGCATGTGAAATCATTCCCTAGTGTTATCATATGATTGTTTTTTGGGGACAGGGTTTCTTTGTGTAGCCCTGGCTGTCTTAGAACTTAGGCTGGCCTGGAAATCAGAGATCTGCCTGCCTCTGCCTCCAGAGGGTTGGGATGAAAGGCATATGCCACCTCTGCTGGTGATTGCTTTGATTAGTAAGGAAGTTAGAGCGGAAGGCGTAGTTCAGTTGATAGAGTGCTTGTCTGCCATGCACAAATCCCTGAGACTTAGCTTTAACACTACATAGACTGGGTAAGGGGACACATGCCTATGATCTGAACACTGCTTCAGCGGCATAGACCATTTGAGGCCAGTCCCAGCTACATGACAGCCCGTCTCAAAAGAAAATATAGCCGGGCGGTGGTGGCGCACGCCTTTAATCCCAGCACTCGGGAGGCAGAGCCAGGCGGATCTCTGTGAGTTCGAGGCCAGCCTGGACTACCAAGTGAGTTCCAGGAAAGGCGCAAAGCTACACAGAGAAACCCTGTCTCGAAAAACCAAAAAAAAAAAAAAAAAAAAAAAAGAAAATATAAAATTAACCTTATGTCTCCCACCCTGACCCCCTGCTGTGGAACAATCTTTGTACATTGTAAGTATGTGTTACTCTTATTGGCTGATAAAGAACTGGCTGGCTGATGGCTAGGCAGGATAAGGTTAGGTGGGAAAATCAGACTAAGAATGCTGGGAAGAAGAAGGGCGGAGTCAGAGGAGACACCATGAGATGCAGAGAGAGCAGGATGGGACATACATACATGAAGGAAACAAGCCTTGGGCATGAGGTAACTGAGCCTCAGGGCAGCACATAGATGGATAGAAGTGGGCTAATTTAAGTTATAAGAGCTAGCAAAAAAACAAGCCTAAGCTATCCGCCAAGTATTTATAATTAATATTAAGTCTCTGGGTGGTTATTTAGGGTGCATCTGGCTGAACAGAAAAGTCCATCTATACCCCCCACCCTTGTCTCTAACTTATTACACATTATGTAATTAAAAATTTTAAGATTATGGAGCTGGGGTTGGAGAGATGACTCAAAAGTTAAGAGTGTGTACTACTCTTTTTTTTTTGGTTTTTCGAGACAGGGTTTCTCTGTGTAGCTTTGCGCCTTTCCTGGAACTCACTTGATAGCCCAGGCTGGCCTCGAACTCACAGAGATCCGCCTGGCTCTGCCTCCCAAGTGCTGGGATTAAAGGCGTGCGCCACCACCGCCCGGCTGTGTGTACTACTCTTGAATAGAGGATCTGAGTTCAGTTTGCAGTGTCCACACTGTGCAGCTCACAGCTGCCTGGAACTCCAGTTCTAGGACAGCCAAAACCCTCTTCTGACCTCCATATATATACCTGTACTTGAGTGTACATGTAGCCACATACTACATACATACATACATACAATCAAACATAAAATAATAAATCTTAAATTTTTAAAAAATATTTCTGGTTTGGGTATGAAAATTGTTGGATCAGCTTTACTTTCAAGATTAGAAGGCCTTTGCATTAGACAGAGATTTGGTATTCAACCATATTTCTTTTAGATAGGGTGTCACTAAGTAGTTGTGGCTGACCTGGAACTGACTATGTAGACCAGGCTGGCCTGGAACTCACAGAGCTCCATCTGCCTCTGCCTCCCTAAGGCATGTAGTGCCACGCTTAGCTCAATCACAAATTTACTGCAGATCTTCAGTGTAGGCTTTTGTTTTTATTTGATTCTTTGTTAACCTTGCTCCTTTGGAAGGGAGAATAAACAAAGCATACATTGGGGGACTGCAGATGTGGTCCAGGTTAGGTAGAGTACTTGTCTAGGGTTTAAAAACCCTGGGTTTGATTTTCAGAATAGAAATTCAAACTCATCTTCAGCTACAGAACAAGTACAAGGTCAGCCTGAGACACACAAGATCTTGTCTCAGGAAAAACAAAAGCAGAAAGGTATATAGACTGGAGTCTTTCTTCATAATTCACCAATAATGCTATTCTCCTCTCTGTTTTTTACTTACTTACTTGTTTGTTTGTTTTGCTTTTTCAAGACAGGGTTTCTCTGTGTTGGCTGTGCTGGAACTCACTCTGTAGACCAGGCTGGCCTCGAACTCACAAAGATTCGCCTGGCTCTGCCTCCCGAGTGCTGGGATTAAAGGCGTGTGCCACTACCACCCAGCTCTGTTTTTTTATTGAGACAGGATATCTCTATGTGTGACAGGCTGCCTTTAACTCAGTACTTATGATCCTCCTGCCTCAGCCTGTGCAGCAGTACTGGGATTACAAGCATGTACCCCTATGTTGGCATATATATATATATATATATATATATATATATATATATATATATATATGACAGTGTTTTTTATTAAGATAAAACTATCCTCATTAGTCCTTTGGTGAAACATTGTGTCTGTGAGATCAACTCATAGAATGATGAGTCACATGTTTACCAAGCTACCCAGAGCAAGAAAAAGTGAAGTCACGGTGATATCAGAGGGAGAGCCTTACCGTGGGGGTGGGAAGGAGTCTGTGCAGGTGAGTACAGTAGGCGCTGTATAATAAAGTCAGTGTGGGATGGGAACTGCCCGCACAAAGCCCACAAGAGCTATGGGGAGAGCATGAGCCATCCAATGATGGAGCTGAACCAAAGCCAGTGGGTTTCAGTCCACACTCCATAGGCTTTCCCAAGAAAGGATGAAGAATCGGGAATGTAATAGCTCTTTTCTCTTCTCTCTTCCACCAGATGAAAACTACCCACCTTGCTCTGATGTGAGACCATCTGAAGAAGAAAAAATGCCAATATTTTCTAAACAACGTTTTGTAGAAAATTTCAAAGCTACAAGAAGCTCACAAAAATAATACTTCACTAACAATCATTGGTCTTTCTTTTTTTAAAGATTTTTTTAAATTGATTTTTTTTGGAATTTCACGTCATGCACCCCTATGCCACTCATTTCCTAGTCTTTCCGTATCTGTCTTTTATCCTTGCAGCATCGCCCCTAAAAGAAAATAAAAATATTAATTAAACAAACAAACAAACAACAACAACAAAAAGCAACAAAGCACGTCGCTCCTCCACCTTTCCCGCCTCTCCATCACCTCTTCATTCATCTTAGTGGCGTTTGGAGCTGCTGTGTGTCATGGAGTTAGACCCTTTTGTCCACACAGCTTTACTTGCAAATGTTCATGGTAATGAATTATTGGTCTGGTTCAAGGCCTCTGACTTCTGCTACACCATCCATACTGGACCCTCACAGAAACTTCTCTCAGACATCCTGCTTTTGCCTGGAGTCATGGAGATCGTACAGCTATGGTTCCGTAGGACCAGTCCCTTCACATGGTCCGGCAGGTCATAGATGGAGCCGATGTTGGGGTGGGCCAACTCAAAGCCCTGGATGTGGGCCTGGGTGGTAGCTGAGGGTTATTTAATGTTCTGAATAGGTTTTATTGTCTAGAAGAAGATTTATAATTCAATCAACTACTTTTAGATGAATTTATAATAAATATTCTTATTCTTCTTCCAGGTACAATTTTAGTTCCTTTCAACTTTCTAAGAAGGTTGCTCCGCCGGGCGGTGGTGGCGCACGCCTTTAATCCCAGGACTCTGGAGGCAGAGGCAGGCAGATCTTTTTGAGTTCGAGGCCAACTGGTGTACAGAGCGAGATCCAGGAAAGGCGCAAAGCTACACAGAGAAACCCTGTCTCAAAAAACCAAAAAAAAAAAAAAGGTTGCTCCAAAGGTTTGAGTCACACTAACTTCCACCAAACAAAAACTTAGATAAATCAAAAATTCCTAGAGTGAAGAAACTGTTAATGGTTTCTAAAAACAGCAGTGCTTTGACGATTTGTATCTGCAATCTTAGCACTTCGGAGGCTGAGGCTCATTTTCACAAGTTAAAGGGCAGCCTGGGCTACATAGTGTTCCAGTTCAACCCAGGCTACAGAGTGAGATTCTGTTAAAAACAAAAACAACAACAACAAAAAAATCTAACTAAAAGTTTCTGGAAACAAACCTAGAAACACAGTGTTCCTGATTCCTTCCTGTGTTTCAAAAGTTAATTTTTTTTTTTTTTTTTTTTTTTTTTTTTAGGTTTTTCGAGACAGGGTTTCTCTGTGCAGCTTTGCGCCTTTCCTGGATCTCGCTCATCTAGACCAGGCTGGCCTCGAACTCACAGAGATCCGCCTGGCTCTGCCTCCCGAGTGCTGGGATTAAAGGCGTGCGCCACCACCGCCCGGCTCAAAAATTAATTTTAAGGAAGAAAGGTGTCTTAGGATTTTTTTATTGCTGTGAAGAGATACCGTGACCACAGCAACTCTTACAAAGAAAACATTTAATTGAGGTGGTGGCTTACAGTTTCAGAGGTTGAGTCCATTGTCGTCATGGTGACGGGAGCATGGCAGCATGCAGGCAGACATAGTGCTGTCTACATCTGGACCAGAAGGCAGCAGGAAGTCAAACTGACTATCAGTCTGTGTGAAGCTTGAGGAAAAGACCTCAAAAGCCCACCCCCACAGTGACACACTTCTCCCACAGGGCCACACCTCCTAATAGTGCCCCTCCCTTTGGGGACCACAAAAGGATTCCATAGGGACTCACCCAGCATATATAGTGCAAAGGAGAGAGGAAAGCCTTCCATGGTGAGACTTCTGCACTAGTTGTGAGCAGAGTCTAGGGGAAAAGTGAGGAGATGGGAAACAAGAGATAAAACTGCTGATGAAACTGAGGAGACAGTGCCAAGCGTTTTCCTGATACCAATCTCGTCAGGAAGGGGCAGAAAAGGGGAAAGGCGGCAAGCTTATGCGTCTCCGTTCTTGAAAGACAGCTTCCTTGGAGACCCAGTCGACTTGCTTGATTTCAGATGAGCAATTGTTTTCTTCTTACTCTTCCATTAAGTGCTGAGTCCATGGAGGATGGAGGTTTCTCTCTCTCTCTCTCTCTCTCTCTCTCTCTCTCTCTCTCTTTTTTTTTTTTGTAGCTTGCTTAACGTGTTTATAAAATGAGGTGTGAGAGATTTTGACATCTGAGGCTGCTTAGGGGTAACTGCTCGATTTCTCAACACAGCACAGGTCACTGTGTATTGAGGTGAAAGGAAAGCCAAAAGATACGTTGACTAGATTCCCTGCAATGTCCAAGGTGTCAGCTCCAAAAGCAGGGAATCTTCTTCTCACCATAGCCTAAATGTTGTTGGTTCTATCTAAGTTACCCAGACAACACAATAAATCATCAGATACTCTCTGGAGCACTCTCCCTCTCTGTCTCTGTCTCTCTCTGTGTGTGTGTGTGTGTGTGTGTGTGTGTGTGTGTGTAACAGGGTCCCAGGATGTAACCTAGACTGGCCTGAGATACCTGATCCTCCTGTCTCGCCCTGATGATGAGTGCTGGGATTACAGTTCTGTGTCACTGCACCCAGCATTTCTACAGTGCTTTTTGCAGCCAATAATAAGACCTCACTGGGGGCTAGAGAGATGACTCAGTGCTTAAGAGCACTGGCTGCTCTTCCAGAGGACCTGAGGAACTGAGGACCTGAGTTCAATTCCCAGCACCCATCTGTAGTAGGATCTGATGCTCTCTTTGGCGTGCAGGCATATATGTAGAGCACTCATACATAAAATATAAATAGATAAAATTAAAAAAAAAAAACAACAACTCACTGAGAAGTGGTTGTGATGATGCATACCTGTAACTGCAAACCCAAAGAGGCTAGGGCAGGAGGATTGTGAGTTCAAAGCCAGCCTGGGCTACAAAACAAGGTAGCAAGCTCTAGGCTATCCTGGGCTACATTGTCACTTTAAAAAAGAAGAAGAAGCCAGGTGGTGGTGCACACCTTTAGTCCCAGCATTCAGGAGGCAGAGGCAGGTGGATCTCTGTGAGTTCAAGGCTGGCATGGTCTACAAAATGAGTTCCAGGACAGGCTCCAAAGCACAAAGAAACTGTCTAGGAACCCACCCCCCACCCCCCAAAAAAAAGGAAAACAAAGAGAAGAAGAAGTTGCTACTGATAAACCAGGCATGGTGGTATCCATCCATAATCCCAGCATTCTGAAGGTGGGGACATGAGGATGAGAAGGAAGTTCAAGGTGATCATCAGCTTCAGGGTGAGTTCAAGGCCAGCCTGAGATACAGGAGGCCCATTCTCAGAAAGGGAGGGGGGGATAATTTTCTCAATATATATACCACCCATCAAAGTTAAATCAAGATCAGATAAACAATTTAAACAGATTTATAATCCCTAGTAAAATAGAAACAGTCACTAAAAAGTCTATCAACCAAGAAAATCCCAGGGCCAGATGATTTTAGCACAGAATTCTACCAGACTTCAAAGAAGAATTAATAACAACACTCCTCAAATTATTCCACAAAATAAAAGCAGTAGAAACTGTGCTCAATTCTTTTTATGAGGCCACAGTTACCCTGATACCAGCCTGGTCTACAAAGTGAGTTCCAGGAAAGGCGCAAAACTACGTAGAGAAACCCTGTCTCAAAAAACAAACAAACAAAAAAACAAAAAAAAAAGTCCTGGAGAGATTAGGGATACAAGGAGCATAACTAACTCAGCATAATAAAGACAATTTTCAGTAAGCCCATTGCCAACACCAACTTAAATGGAGAGAAATTCAAAGCATATCCACTTAGATCAGAAACAAGACCAAGTTGTCCACTCTCTTCATGTCTATTTAATATAGCTCCTGAATTCTTAGCTAGAGCAATAAATCAACTGAGGGAGATCAGGGTATACAAATTGGAAAGAAGTAAAAGAATCTTTATTTGCAGATGATATAATAGTATACATAACTGACCTTTACAATTCCACCAGGAAACTCCTACAGATGATAAACACTTTCAGCAAAGCAGCTGGATCCAAAATTAACAGAGAAAAATCAGTAGCCCTCCTGCATCCATATGACAAATGGAAAGAGGGAGAAACAAGGGAAGAAACACCTTCCACTGTAGCCTCAAATAATATTAAATATCTTGGGGTCAATCTAATAATAATAATAAGTACTTTAGGACATTGAAGAAAGAAATTGAAGAAGATATTAGAAGATGGAAAGATCCCCCATGCTCATAGATTAGTAGGATCAATATAGTGTAAATTGTCATCTTACCAAAAGTAATCTACAGATTCAATGCAACCCCCGACAAAATTCCAATACAATTTTTTCATAGAAGTTGAAAGAACCATTTCAGCTTCATATGAAAACATAAAAAACCTTGGATATCTAAAACAAGCCTGCATAATACAAGAACTGCTGTAGGTATCACCATTCCTGATCTCAAATTGTATTACAGAGCTTATAGTAATAGAACTAGCATAGTATTGGCAAAAAAGAAGACATGTTGATCAATAGAATCAAATTGAAGACCCAGACGTAAGTCCACATAGTGATAGACACCTGATTTTTGATAAAGAAGCCAGAAATACCAGAAAAAAAAAAAGACACCATCTTTAACAAAGGGTGCTTGTTAAACTGAATGGCTGCTTAAAGAAGAATATAAATAGATCCATTTTTATCACTATTGTGTGGTATTTTGTTCGCATTCTGACAATAAAGTTTGCTTTGAGCCAGAGGGCGGAGCTAGCCACTAGCTGACCAAAATTAATCATAGAGGTTTTGGAGGACTGAGGACAGATAGGAGACAGGAAGTAGTAAGGTGGGGCTGGGAGAGGATCTCAGCCCTTTTGGATGGTGGAACAGAAGAGATAGAAGGTCACTGGTGGCTTCCTCCACTGCTATACTGATCATTTAGGTTTTTACCCTGATATCCGACTCCCAATTTTTTATTGATAAAGAATAATTAGATAAATGTATCATATCACCTTGCATAAAACTTAACTCCAAATGGATCAGAGACCTCAACATAAAACCAGATACACTGAACTCAGTAGAAGAGAAAAATGAGGAATAGTCTTGAACTCATTGGCACAGATAAAGACTTTTTTAACTGGACACCAATAGCAAAGGCACTAAGATAAATAATTAATTAACAGACCCTCATGAAACTGAAAAGTTTCTGTATGGCAAAGGATACCATCATTCAGATAAAATGGCAGCCTACAGGATGGGAAGTTTTTTTTTTTTTTTAACCAATGACACTTTTGATAGAAAGCTAATTTCCAAAATTTATATATATATATATATATATATATATATATATATATATATATATATATATATATATATATATAGAGAGAGAGAGAGAGAGAGAGAGAGAGATAAAACCTCAAAAACTGTACATCAAGAAAACAAATAACCAAATTTAAAAATGGGGTACAAGCTGGACGGTGGCATCCCACACCTTTAATCTCAGCACTGGAGAGGCAGAGGCAGGCAGATCCCTGTGAGTTCCAGGCCAGCCCAGTCTAGAAAGTGTGTTCCAGGACAGGACTACACAGAGAAACCCTGCCTCAAAAC